ACGATTCGAAAGAAGCTGTTGAGATGAAAAAGCCGATGGGCAGGTAAGTGCACGTATTGTGGCCATCCTGACTGGTGCAGTGACTTGAAGCGTTAACGATCGACACTGAATACGCTGAAATGACAAGCAACATTAACATAGACACAGCTTTCCTTAGGTTTACGAACACATTTAGTAATCAAGAAAGCGAAATATAAATGGCAAACATCTCACCAAAAAAGTCATTAAGACTATTCTTTAATCTGAGTAGCTGCATGTTCCCAAGTTAAAATTTGGTTCATGAGAATGCATTTCCGACAACAAACCACACGGGCCAGAATGGTTTCCTGACCGATTTTAATCCTTTTTATCAACTTCAGGAAAAAACTTACCTTTGAGCTTAACTTGAAACATTGAGAAATCTATTTATTTGGCTGCCGCAGTCATTGATCTGCTTTCGGCATCTTGTACAGGAGGTTGATTTGAAATTTAGCCCAGGGCTTCAATGCAATGATAACAAATACATAATTAAAATGCTGCAGACTAAATAGAAGCGAGAATGGTAAGGATTTTTCGCGGAATACGAACTTTGAAAGATGCGATAAAACGATGAAGATGAACCAGTCGTCAAGTATAAACGAATAAAAATTGTAGGAGTAAACGATGTTTACATTGTATATAGCGTTCCCACCAGTCGCAGTATACGGTGATTGTCGGCCAAAGGGATTGCCGAGCAAACGTGTTAATCTTTGCATTCTTGGTCTCTGAGCACAATGACACCTTGAGGTCTTTCATTTAGGAATGCTTCACACAGCTACTATCACCAACTACAGCTAATAAACAGGGAACCGAGAGGGAAATGAGTTAAATCTCCGACAAGGAAATGTTATAGTGAGAGTCATAGTAGAAGTAGGTGTAGTGAAAAAGAAAAATTTGGAGGCTGTTACAGAGGAACGACTGCAGGCAGAACCCCGATGTATTGTGTAGCATCCGGGAGTAGGAGACGCTTGAATAGAAGGAAGTGCGGACTTCTTTAATACCGGCTATTTTTGCATGGAATCTTTCGTAGTTATTAACTGAGAAATGGTCGCTGCAAATGTGACCCGAAACTGGTGTCCAACCATTAGGTTCTCTTTTTGTTCGAACAAATGCAATCTACTGTCGCTGCACACTTTCATCAACTGGAAACTGGTGAAGGCTAACTCCGTCTGCATTTATTTTGTTACAGCACATCACTAAACAGCGCTTTCCTGGTTTTCGTTTTCTTCGCTTGGAATCCTGTTGTTTTCCGTTTATATTATAAATGTCAATGCGGCTAAAAGTGGTACAGTTTTGGATAAATATATTTTCAGGTCGTAATTTGAGAAACATTACGTGCTTCTTATTTCCGTAGCGCTATTGTGTCGCTGACTCGGTTCGTTTCTTAAACCAAGACACTGCGTTTTATACTGTTTGCTAGGCAGTTTCATGACGTGCATTAACGGTTTCCTCTCTCAGGCTGTCGGCTTGTTTTATTTACGATAAGCGAGAGTAGGTAATTTACTGTTCACTCAACTGGCAGTGGCACATTTTTGAAACTAGTAACATTGCGAACAAGATTAATTTCATCACGTTTTCCGGTTGCAAATGACAAACAAAGCTTGAGTGTGACGCTCAGAACAAGGCGTTTTTTGTAAACGACGGTTTACAGCATGTTTTTGTTATTACTCACTTCCACTGGAAGTCAAACTCAGGAACACGAATGTGCTATATATGTTGTTTAATGTTGGGTAACGTCATCTCTGAAGAAGTTTCAGCCAGAGACGAAACGCGTCAGTAAAAATAAACAAAAAGTTACAACAGCAAGAATTCGTACTTCGTGCTGCTAAGTCTCCGTTAAAAAATAGAAAGAAAGGATAAATACATTACCGGAACGTGGAAGAAGAGTATCGTTCGCAAAACCAGATGAAGACCCCAAATAATTTGAGACAACAGTTTGCGCTTATATCACGCTCACTTTAGAACCGATGGGCTTGAGGTCGCAGTGATGTACACCGGACAAAATCTCGAGACTCGATAATGGTTAAGAAGAAAAAGTAAGATAGATATATTTTTTACCGCTGTTTGCTATGGTATGCAATTTACTTGTGGTTTTGAACACAGATACGCGATCGGTCGCTCTTCGATAATTCAACCCCTTCAGAGAAAGTGTTTTATTTCTCACTTCGTATTTCATAGTCTCTAAACGGTGGCTTGTAACAAAATGGAACAAATCTTTGTTTTTTTCCCGCTCGGTAGCAGCTGAACAGCGACGGCGAAGTTGTTACTTTCAGGTCTTAGCATAACCCTTTTCACTGCCTTACACACGTGTGCGGTTCACATCACGTGACTTAGTCGAAACGTTTTAAAATGGCCGTCGATTAGGCATCAACAAAACTTTGTACAAATATTTGTTTAGCACAATATATCATTTATTTGCTTGTTTAGGTTTCTTTAACCTAAGACGAATGTATTGGGACAAAAAAAAGAGGGGAAAAATTTGCCGTCAGTTACCCTAAGTTATCGGGAAACCCCTAAAGGTAAACAAAGGGAAGCTACTACAGAAAACAGAAGGTCTTTATATGAGCAGAGTTCTGCACCCCATTCATGCGAAAGCTTAAACATCTTTCAAAACCGTTTTTCTAACACAGTTAACTATTTTCCTCGTCACCATATTCCCACCAATAGCGTAGCTTAATTTTTTGCTCATAAACCCACACACAACCCGCAATTCCTCCAATCGCTTTGACGAAGGGCTAACGCTCGAAACGTCAGCCTTTAAACCGTTTACGGTGGCCAATTTACGCTTTCAACTAAGTTGTTAACACTAAATTACCTGTTTTACTCTTTCACCGACGCAGCACCTCAGTTTCTTTAGAAACTTACCCCCTTTAAACCAATGTTTGTCGACTTCAAACGTATCGCATTGAAAATGAAAGTTAGCGATTACTTTGATCCTATGGAAAATTTAGTTTTAAGTTCTCTGTTCCTGATTATCATTCAGTTAAGCCCAGTTTCACTAAATATGTTTTACTGGAGTGAATGGCAATGGGTTATTAGTCAAGGATACAAATAGTAAGAAGGTTCAAGTTTAAAACTTATTGCATAGTGTGCCGACCTTATTGGTCTATGTATCCAGTTCACAATCCGGGCTGATTCCAAGCAATAAAGAAATATTATTGCAACAAACACTGAAAACACAAGAGAATGATTCTTAATTTTCTTGTCAAAGAAGGTCGCATGCCATCCAGTCCATCGATACGCTTGTTATGCCTCAAGTGCAGTAAGAGTGATCACAAAGCTCCTTGCCACGAATACGATAGCTAAATGTAGGTCTTTTTTGTCCGTTTCGTCTTAATCAAAGTCTAAAGCAGCGTGCCCATCTTTGAAATTATCAAGACATAAGTTCTATGAGCTGCACCGCGGAACAAGGACCCCTAGCAATCGTTGCCACTAAACGTATGTTTCATTTTCATTCAATATAAAAAGGAAGAAACAAACGGAAAAATTGACATCGTCGGAGTCTAAACCGGCAATAACTCAACAAAAAATAGAAATTGTAGTAGAAATCCTACATCGAGTCTAGAAAAGGATCTTTTCACGTTGTTTTCCCTGTCTGTTTGACTTAATGCGTGAGTGATTCCAAATAAAGATCACATCTTTTGTTCATGGTCAACACACAAGATATTTCAAAATTCACCTACAAAGCATTGCTTGGAAAACGAAATTTTCTCCGCTATACTTATATATTCTAGTTAAACATGATACAGCTTGTCCAAGAATTATTGAACTATAAAGCTGTCACACTGTGAAATAACCATTACTGATAACAACTCAGATGTAGGTGTGACTTCATCCTGTTAAGAAATCGTAATTCCACCTAAGTCATCAGTACTTCAGTTTAAAATATTATCTTCATAACTTCATCCTTTAAAAGTAGGGACAGAGGCCTGTAACCTTACCATTAGCATTCCTGAGGCGAAACACTAAACCCACTACAATAGCTACACTAACTACACCATCTACAATGGCTACACTTATTACACTACGTACAGCAGGGATACTAAATACGCCAACTGTAGGAGATATACTGATTACATCGAAAAAAGCTTTACTGAACAATTTTCCCATAACAGCTTTATCGACCGCAGGAAGTAAAACATCATCACTATATGTATGTAGGTATGCAAACTTTAATTGCCACACTAACGTTACAAAGTGCAACCGACTGTCTAAAGAAGGTACAAAAGCTGGGGCTGCACTAGGTACATTGCTTACAGCAGCTTTTTGGGCTACACCTTGCACAGTAGTTACGCCTACTTTTGGAGTAGTAAGGGTATTTGTTGAAGTCAATGTAGCCAGCGTAGATGTTATGTTTGGTGTAGTCAGTATCATAGAAGTTCTGTTGAAGCAGTGATCGTAACTTTCGTTTATGGTATAGCTAGTGTGGCTGTTATTAGGTTGACACACTCATTGCAGATGTTGTAGTTGGTGTAGTCAGTATTTTACGTAATGGTGTATTCAGTCTTTTCCATACTTTTCCAGTTACTAGTTTACCAGCTTTTCTAGACTCAAGAAATGACACAGAAGATAGAGAATGGATACTACTTATATTAGCTGAAAGTATATCACTAATAACACTCTTAACCCTCAATAGATTAGTGTCACCATGCAACCTCACTTGCTGTACATGTATATGTGTAAAGATTTGTTTGTTTATTTGTGATTGTAGTCATGACCTCACTTTTCCTGAATTACTTCCACAATACTATTTGGCAATTCTCTTTTAATATATTGATAATCTATTTAAAAGTCCCTTTGATCTACATTTTATTTTTAGACACTCCAAAGGTTACCAATTTATTCCATGTCTGCTCTGGTCATCCCTCTGCAATTTGTATTTGCGTCTTCTGAAACGCTTCTTTGGTTGGTACTGCGTAAAGATTGCCAGACATCCTGCGATAACAATCCAAATATGCGTCATATTCATCGGTATCTGTTCTATGGGTTTTATGTGGTTCCATTCAGAAGACAGAACGGTAAAATTGTTCATCCCTCAAAACAGTAGAGCCATAGACGACTTAGAAACTGCTGAGAAATACTTTCGAGTCGATTTTCGAGAGGAAATCATCCTTTTAGCGGTATCACCTGGTCATCCCAATGTTCTTTCTCCTAAATGTGTGAGGCAGGCCTTTCAAGCTCATAATGCAGTTATGGGAATTGAATCTTATTCCCACTACTGCGTCACACTCTCTGGGAACAAATCTAGATCCCTAAACGATTGTATGATGATCAACCCACTGGAATTTCTACAGTTCAATGAAAGCAAAGTGAGCAGCGATAATATTGAAGTGGTTCAACAGGAATTGAACAAGGCTTACAATGACACAAGCTCACTTATGCGGAATGGGCGCCCATTCTGGTTAAACTTCGACCGCATGTTTGGGGATGTGAATCGAACACAAGGAAGCATAACAGGCGCCAAAGCATTGCAAATGATTTATCTCCTCCGTAATCCCAAGGATGATGATGCAAATGAAAAGGTTCTCCAATGGGAAAAGACTTTTGTAGATAAACTGGCCTCATTGGTAGACAAACTGTCATGCTTCAAAGTCCATTATTCAAGTGAAAGGAGCATGGATGATGCCATAAGTGAAAGCACTGGGTCTGATGTCAGTCTAGTGTCAGTCACTTATAGCCTTATGATTTCTTTTGCTTGCATCATGCTAGGAAAGTTCTTGAACCCGCTGACTGGCCATTCTCTACTTGCCACCGCAGGAGTGTTTGCAGTGGCCCTTGGTATTTTAGCCGGACTTGGCCTTGGTATGTGGTTCCGAGTTCCCTTCCCCAGTATGGTGGGAATAGTGCCTTTCCTGGTCCTTAGTATCGGCATAGATGACATGTTTATCATGGTAGACGACCTTGATCGACAACCATGTGGGCTGTCGACAATTGAGAAAATCAAAGCAGTTATGAAGCATTCAGGAGCAACTGTAACCATGACAACTATGACTGACTTAGTAGCATTTGCAGTTAGTACATCTTCCTCATTTCCAGCAATCAGGTAAGGCACTTCTTCAATTGTTGCCAATACCTTTGAAGAACCTAAATTTTCCTCATAAGCATCAGAGAGCGTAAGCACATACCATTTAACTTTGCCAACAAATGGTCTTTCAGGCAGAAACAGCAACCCAGTCCTTGTTTTAAAGAGGGAAGGGTTGAGTTTTCCTTTTCGGTGCATTTTAGTTAAGAGTTGATAAACTAAACTCATACATGTAGTTATCACAACAGCCAATCAGAACAGATGAAAGAATCATAGGGAGCAAAACAGAATCCAAAGTGAATTCAAAAGTGAGTGACTAAATCACAAGTACACTCAGTTTTGCTTGTGATTGGAATAGAGGCTGGTTTAAGATTTCACATCAATAGGACAGTTCAGCAATCATCTGATTACTCTACATGCAAGGAAGAAGCATCTCAAAACTTTGTGAAAGAGTCACAATAGACTTATTGGATTGAGCACAAATTAATTTTAAAAATTATATTAAGCTTTTTCACAGAATTATTTTAACTTTGCACTCTTATAAATTGCAACACCAAACACTACAAACAAAATCAATAACAACGTTTGAAGTGGATTTGCATCAGCTCAAGTTCTCCTCATGTAAATATTGACCTCTATTATAATATATTTTAAATTCAAATTTGATTTCCATTGTTTTTATTACAGTGCTAGATGCATTTGCAGAGTGTGGTATATCTGAAGGTTGAACTGATCAATCAGTGATTAGTTCAACCTTCATGTCTTGCCAAATTGTACATACTCACTAGTTTATCTAGTTCAAGTCCACTGGCATAGTTTGGATGATACTCTGTCCAGGAGGAGACATGTCTTGCCATTGTGCATCCTCACTAGTTTATCTAGTTAGAGTCCTCTGGCATGGCTTAGATGATACCTCAATTGTGGGATCATTCAAGGTAGCTTAATGCTTCTATATATATGTATACACACATAAGTTAAAGAAATAAAGAGGATGCATCGATTCTCTGTGACTTTGAGTTTCGCACCTAAGTGCTTATCAGACAAAACCAGGTCTGTCTGACGAGCACTTAGGCGCGAAACTCAGAGTCACAGAGAATCAATGCATCCTCTTTAATTCTTTAACATATGTTTACTTGGCTCAGCTACCACAGCACTGAGCACTTTATGCCAAGGTAGACTCTACCCCCACATTCATTTATATTCATAATATTTAGTTCAAAATGACTAAAATGAAACATGCATGATTCCCTGTAACTCTGAGTTTCATGCTTACGCACTCGTCAGACAGATTAAATCTGTCTGAAGAGTGTGTAATCCCAAACTCAGAGTTACAGGGAATCATGCATGTTTCATTTTAGTCATTTTGAACTGTATTTCGCTCTACACTCATGTGTATTAAGCACTTTCCAATAGCATTTGCTACAATTTCCCACAATTATTTATAATATATATATATATATATATATATATATAGGAAGTCTGCAAGTCGATTTTCGCGTGGAACAGTGCTCAATACGTTGAAGCAGAGCAGAATAAATATTATGAGAGGAAAAAACGACGCAACTACATTTCCCGACAAGCCTGTTTCGTGAATCGCTTCTTTAAACCCCTGAAGAGTGAAGCAATTCACGAAACAGGCTTGTCGGGAAATGTAGTTGCGTCGTTTTTTCCTCTCATAATATTTATATATATATATATATGTATATATGTATATATATATATAAATATATATACATATATACACACACATACACACATCTAGTGAGGATGTACAAAGGCGAGACATGAAGGTTGAACTAATCATTGATTGGTCTATTCAACCTTCAGATATACTATGCTCTGCGAATGCATCGGGCACTTAACCGCAAGGATAGACTATAACAAAGATTTACATACATATATAGATATATATATATACCTTTCTTCAGGTGCTTACAAGGATAATTTTTAAATGCTCAAAAGCTCCTTTTCTTCATTTCCTTTATTTTTGTGAGCTTAATGTGTATTTCAAGGGTGATAATAAAGGGAAATATTAGATGCTAGTCACTTACATATAGGGGTAGAGAGTTAAACAAATATTAATAGTATTGAAAGAAAGAAGAGGATCCTAACTGACCAGAAAAACTTAGTTTACAGTTACAAACAATATAATCTGTTCCTCTAAATACCCATGAACACAGATTTAGTTCTAGGTAGATGCTCAGTTACTAACTGCCTGGAAAAATTGTTCCCTACCCAATAGGATTTAAGATGATTTGACTAGCTACTGACATCTCAATACTTATTTATGTAGCAAGGTGAAATGATGTGAACAGTTAAAGTTTTTTTCAGATTTTCTTCTCCATCTAAATTTATACAACTATAACTTCTTTCATAGGTATTTCTGTACTTATGCTGCTTTGACAGTGACATTTTCCTTCCTGATGGTTGTCACATTCTTTGTTGCTATTATGACATATGACATGAGACGAATTAAATCCGGACGCAGAGATTGTATCCCACTTCTCCTGGCGCCTCCACCAAAAGAGGGTATGCCAGCCTGGGATGAACCTCTTCCACAGACTTCAAATCGAATTATGAAATATTGGGCCACATTGTTGATGCTTCCAGTCACAAAAGTTGTGGTCATACTATTGTCACTGACATTGCTTGCTGCTGGAATATATGGGGTCACCCAGGTGGAGGAGTCTTTTGATGAGCGCATGCTGGCTAAAGATGATTCTTACTTGAAGAAATTCTTGACAGTTCAAAACAAATACTTTGGAAGTGGAATGGAAGTGAATCTTATAGAGACTGGTAAAGTTGATTACAAGCTAGAATCAACCCAGGAAAGCATCAAACAGCTGACAAACATCTTGATTGAAAATGAATATTACCAGAACCAATCAATATCCTGGATGGGCACATTTTCTCAGTATGCCAAGATGTCTAAGAAAAACATTACTGGCTCAGGATTTCTACACGAACTGAAACAATTCCTCCGAATTCCCACCTTTTCTTATTACAGGCAGGACCTGAGGTTTTCAGAGGATGGAGAGAAAATAGAAGCTTCTCGTGTCATTGGTTTTATGAAGAATTCCAGCAGCTCCACTTTCCATAAGAATGCAATGCTCACACTCCGTGAAGACATTGAAAAGAAAACAAACTTGGAAGCCTTTCCAATAGGTCGATATTTCATATTTTTTGAAATGTACGCTATTGTGATAAAGGAGACCATACGAAACCTGATTATATCAGCCTTAGCAGTGTTTATTATCACAAGCCCCTTCTTAGTAGACTGTGCGGTGACGCTCCTGGTGATGTTAAACTTCGCAGCCCTGGTTTGCGAGTTGTTCGGTTTGATGGTAATCTGGGATGTGGCTCTAAATGCTGTGTCCATGATTAACCTTATTATGGCTATTGGCTTTGCAGTTGACTACAATGCACACATTGCTCATGCCTACATAACATCAAACAAGGCAACTGCCAATGAGCGAGTAGTGGATGCACTTACTACACTGGGTGCAAGTGTTTTTATGGGAGGTAGGTCAGGAGCTCAATTACTAATTGCAAATCTTGTATTTTGAAAAATATGAAGCCTTCCCCACCACCACAAAAATTTCTTCTGTCAGCATTTGATTCCAAAGAGTTCATTGACATGTCCTTCACAAGACACACAGCTTTGATATTTCTGCAGTGGAATCATGTGTACTTGAGGCATCTGTTGGTTGAGTATTGGTTGATACCATGGGTTCACATGTTGACTGGGTGTTGGTTGATACATTGGCTGATGCACAACCCACATACTGATGGAGTAGCAGCCGACATGTTGACTGAAATCGGTGGCCTCTCAACCAACACACGTCAAATGTTACTTGGCTGACATGCTGCTGATACTTTACCCACACACTCAGCCCACACTACTTTCACTTGATCTGCTTTTTTTGGTGAATTCTACCTACTATATTCCAATGTTAGCCTATTTTCTCTCGCCAAAGTCTTTGTTCGTGTAATATATGGCTTAGGGAAAGGAGCTAGGATAGCTACCATTCCAGCAAAACAATGGTTAACAATATACACATACCACCCACAGTCACATCCACATATACCACCCAAAGTCCACCCATATGCTACCGACCCTTGACCAGTATGCTGCTAACTGTTGATGGCGATGTCCTGGTTGAGGTGTCAGACTAGTGGTAACTGACATATCAACCAAGTAGAGACTGATAGTGGTGACCTACAATCTCACTGGTGTCTAACATGGCAACCCACAGTTGGCTGACTATTGGTCAATGTGTCTGTGGAGTTTTGACTAACTCACATTCGACATGTCAGCCAGTACTATTGGTTGATACTTGGCCAACAGATGCCTTAAGTACACATGATCCCTGTAGTGTAGCTGAACGAACATTCCATAAATATAGCCATCAATGTTGGCTCTTTTTTTCAAATTAGATTTCTAAAGAATAGGATTTAAACTTAAAGTATTTTTTCAGATACTGTCTGTGCATGATTTGAATGACTTCTAAATTTACCAGTACTAGATATGTTATGAACTCCTCTAAAGTTTTCTTTTTTGTCTGATGAAGGATTCAGTACCTTCCTTGGCATGGTTGTCCTTGTTTTCACTGATTCAGAGCTTTTCCGCATATTCTTTCGAATGTTTTTTGGCATTGTTGTGCTTGGCCTTTTTCATGGCTTGTGTATCCTGCCTGTTTACCTGTCCTTCCTCTACTGGAGACCTGCTGTTATCACAACTCTCTCAGTGGGGGACATTTCTGGTAAACATGGAGAAGGAAAAGAATCAGAAAATCCCACCAATGAAAATGACAGATTACAATTAACATCACGTCAACAAATGGACTCAACCAGACATGTCAACGATGCATTATTTCAATCACATCAGCACCCAAACTCTCAGGATGATAAACCAGCCAGCCAACAGAAAGAAAACGTTGCTGTTGAGATAGGAATTCAAAATATGGGGATTGAAGAAGACTCAAGAAACACACAAAGCAACAACATTGTTTCCAGCATCTCAGCAGAAGACCCTGAGAAGGAGACTAAGAGCACAGATGGACCAGCCAACTAACAGACAGTGAAGAATGGTCTCAATATACCAATTCAAAACCTGGGATATGATGTAGATGAGCATGAGGCTGAGATGAACATAACAGAGACAGAAGGTAAAATAAAACATCCCTATGACTAACTCAAACACATTTTGAATGAAGATGGGTGTTCTTGGACTGAAAAAGAGCCCCAAATTACATCACTTTAAATTTGCTACTACTAGCTAAATCTTACTAGAAAACATTGCAATTTAAATTTGAAGAAGGTTTGAAAGCTGGAGTGTTAGGAGTGTAGAGTGTTAAGCTGGCAATTGACAAGATGCAGCTGTATCAATGTGCTTAAATTGAAAATCAGTGTATATATTTTGACAGTTTGCCGAAATTACTTAGTTAGCGTGAAACTTTGGGTATGATACTTTTGGAACTAGTAATTCCATTGGACAATCACAGTTTAGTGACCATTCGTTAGTTGGTAATTGTGAAGGACAACACCCTGAAAAGAAAGTTTGCTGACAGTTGTAAGCACACCTGTTGGCCACAGTTGATCTGTTGGTTATCTGTCTGTAAATTGTCAGTAACAACATTACTGTCAGCTGACTGTTGGGTGACAGGTGTGCTTAAACTGTTGACTGTAAGTCAACTGACTGACTGGCTAACAGTCCACTGACAGTTGGTTGACCCACTTTGTACAAACTGTCAGCCAACTGTTGACAGACTATTGGCCGCCTGTCAACTGACTGTCAGCCAAAAGTTTGAAGCACAGTTGTCAGATGACAGTCAGTAATCTGTTATTGATCTGTCAGTAAGTTGTTGGTAACAATATTATTGTATTACCACATTTATAATCTAAACTTCAGAGAAGGCTACATTGGATTGAAAGTTTAGGCCACATTTAGTGCCAGTTCTTACAAGGGTTGTGGAAATACTGGTGTTGCAATCTGCCATATTGCAAAGGTTATAAAGACCCCATGAGTTCACTTAATGCAGTTTGCACATGCACAAACTGATAAATGTATTATAGAGCAGGCAAATAGAGAGGGAGGACGAGGACATGGTTGATCAGTACAGTCAAAGTTTTGTTTTAGATGTTAATTTGTGGGTATATCGCCAATTTGTAACCTTTCTGAGGGGGGCATTGGAGCCTATTAGAAGCTGCAAAACTGTAGAAAACAATCATCCAGAACCCAAAAACCCCCCAAAAATTTGATCAAAACTGAAAACCACACGCAAAACTGTCAATACCGATACATTTTCACATCCCAGTCATCAAAAGCCTAATCGATCCAATACGGTGGTGACAAGGGGAGCATACCTACACTAATTTCAAAAAATGGAACTAGCTGTCCTTCAATCAATCAGAACTTGCACCAGCCTTGCTACTTTTGAGAAACAAGTTGATAGAAACAATTAAAATTTTTAGCAAAGCTTTTGGCAGTAGTTGTTGTCTTGAATGCAATGTAAATATTTACAGCTTTTAGTGCTATATATTATCAAATTAATTACTATCATTATTAATTATAACATTCAAGCAGGCAGATTTCACAGTTTGATTACTTCTGTCTTAAGATCTAGTGGGAGGCAGATGCATAGATGATGTCATCATTAACAATTTTTTGGTCCTTCATTGTACAAAAGAAATAAATTCTGAATTGCTGTGGGTGCACAAAGTTAGAGATCACAGAGGATATGAAAATGTGGTAAGAACGTCAATGACATGGTCAGCTCCCCATCATGTGCCACTTATTTGTTCTAATCATATTTTGACATCACTGTGATCTATTACATACTGAACAGATGCACAGAAACATTAAAGACAATTTTACATGAGTTAAGGCAACTTGGGTAGAATCAGGCGACTTCAGGCAACTTTGAGCAACTTCAGGTAACTTAACACACCCACACAGAACAAACAAAACAAAATATTTCTGAAAACCACTGAGATCCACGATCCAAACTTTATCATATGCAAGATCCAGAATCCGGGCCCAATAAATCGATGAAAACTGCAAATTGCTGCAATCCCAGGATCTGCAAATGCGCTTTTGATCTGAATCCAAAATCTGGGCAAAAATACTGCTGATCCCTAGGCCTATTCCTCCCCTCTGCAAGGTTAGAATTGAAAATCAGCAAAAGGGCAACAAGAATTTAAGCAAAGGGAGAGTGCTTAGGGATGTTGAAGATTTACATGGATTGCTCATATGAACTTCACTCTCTTCCCCCTTTGGTAGCCAAGATTAGCTCAAAAATAACTTTTCCCTGTTTTCTATTCACAGCAACCATGTAACCTGAGAAATTATGACCCAAAATTATTATGAGTAATAAAAATAATAATAATAATGGTTTAATATCAGTACATCCATGGTATGGCTCTTCGCCTGATATAAAATAAAAAGAAAATATAAATAATAAATAAAAATAAATAAATCTGAATTATGAATTTGTAAATAGCTAGGTAATAAACAGTAAAATGTAATTATACAATATATATATTATTTAAAACTAGGCAAGAAATTATTCCACCCTATTCCGGCAGTGCTCCCTTAAAATACATAACCCTTTGAAAATGATCTTGACATATGCAGAAAATTTGATGTCGCCATTTTGAATTTAGCTCAGCAACTCTGCCACTTACTTGTGACCCAAGTATTTTTTCCTTCATGATGGGGGTTGCAAAAGTTTTTAAAAAATTGTAAAATAAAACTATCAGCTGAAGAAAGAAAATGCACCGGTTAGGGTGACTAAACCTGCTTCTCTTAACTTTAGATTTCTATTTCAAAATATGACTTCAAGCCCTGTTTGAGACCGGAACTTTTGAGAATGGGCCCCAGGCCCGGGTCGTCGTGCTGTGTTCTTGAGCACAGCATTTTATTCTCACTCAGGCTTTTACTCTAAAGGGAAAGGGAGTTATTCCTAATGTTAAAGAAACCCAATAAGTCTCGGGTAACCATGGTAGATGGGGCACTCGGCCTTTTGCAGATTTTACCTTCATTTATATACTCACTGGCTTCAGAAACTTGATTAGATAATGCAAATACTAACAGCACCACAAGAATAATTAAAAATGGCCAAACATCTCTTATGTAAAGCATCGTAGCATGATATTTAAATGCAGTCAGTTGCAGTTGCTGTCAAAAACAAAATGGAAAATAATAAATCAAAATAAAGCGAAATAAATCGATAAAAAAGACAGGAGACTGAATCAGCAGAAGAAGAAACCTGCTGGATTAAAAACGACAAAAAAAACCTGATTTTGGTGTGGCGAGCTCACGGAAGGCGCTGACACATCTAGATGCAATCGAAAATTGTTTTCATCCGCCATTTTGAACGTTATGCGGGTTACCGCTGTACTTTAAGTTCCAGACTCCCTCCCCTGTTATTTCAATTCCCGTTCCCTTTTCAGCTACGTTTTGACAACATCCAGACTCTTTGCAGATTGGGAAAGTAGTTTTCAATCAACAGCTGTTGTTACAACATCCAGATTCTTTGAAGACTGGAAAAGTAGTCTTTAATCAGTGGCTGCCTCCCCACCTTTCACGTTTTTATCACATCTTTATGTTTAGATGTGACCAAAAACTCAATTGTGAGGAGTCTCTTCTCATCCAAAACATCGAAGCTAATCGAAGCTTACATGGGTGAGCAAGATACTTCAGTGACTCGTGCAGTCTTTAATCGTCGGAAAGTCACCGTTAAAGTTATATGCTCGACGATTCCGTGATAAAATTTGATATAGAGGTAAGTGCTTAAGCTTTGACCGCCATGAAAGTTTATCCTCGGACAAGAAATGTGCACAGAATTTTTACGTTCATCTTGTCTTTTTTTTGTCGGCATTTTATCAGTTCTAAAAGTTCTGAAATTCTCTGAAGTGCTTCGTAGCCCGCAATAAAAAATAGCGGCTACCTTGATCCATGTGTTTCGTGCTGAAATTAAAAGTAAACTTTCGGTATTCCTCGCCCGACTATGCTTTCAGTTTGATGTGAGGATTTCTTTAATTTCTTGTTGCCCGATGTTGTCGTTGAAAAATATGCACAAATTGGCATTTCGATCGATGAAGCGTTCGAAGTATTCGATATCGATAGCTCCGAATGTTTTGTTTTAATGGCTCTCCACGTGCTTAATTTTGCCTTCAATATTTTTTACCTTAGATTGCCTATTAATCTTTGTTGTGACCCGAAAAAACATTCTGTCTTTCATTTTCCGTTGGACTAGGTTCAATCAGTGGAAATGTTATGTCGATCGGACGGTTCACGGTCGTTTCGATACAAAGTCGTTTCGATACAAGTGGTTTCGATACAAGTTGAAGTCGATTCGTTACACATGTAAAGTGGATTCGATACATACTTATGTTACTTCAAGTTGTTTCGATACAGAATACTATACCATATATAAACAACCAAAGGAACCTTCAAAGACATACTAGAGTGAACACAAACCTCTGTTGTAAATAAACCCATACCTCTGCTAACCTCCACATGGACTCAAGTTTTCTGGGATGGGTTTAACTCTGGTGCCCACAGTGCAATAAAACTACTGGAGGTGTGTTCCTACCTCAACGGCCTGGTAGCTTCCCGAGACAGCTCTTTTAGGAACCTCTGCACCCTGTTTTCATCACTTTGGGACGATTTCAGGTTGCTAAAAATGGCTCTTTTAGGAGCCACCACATCAATGTAAATGTACTTGAGTAATTACAACTACGTCGATCGATCAAGTCACTTAATTAATTGAGTCAAATTTCAGCTAATTTGTTGAATAGAAAACAAAAAATCACCACACATATGAAAGACAGAAACTAACACTCTTGTACTGAACTTTTCTAAAGTTTGCTGCAGTATCCAAACGACTTCAGCTTGTATCGAATTGACTTTACATGTGTAACAAATCAACTTCGTTTTGTATCAAAACGACTTGTATTGAAACCACTTTGTATCAAAACAACTGGACACCTGATCGGACACACACTTTGTTTGACTTTGCCTCAAATTATGTATTTAGGTGTTCGTCTCGCTCCATCTTAATATTAGCATGGCTAAACACTTTTTTAGTAATATTTAGTGGATTATGTAGCGGTTTTGCCTCTGCTATTTGAACAATTTTTATTGATCTACTTGTTTTGGGTGACTCTAGGAATGTTTGGCAAGTGTGTTACCGAAATTGGAGCAAGGGTGTGAACATGAACATGTTTATGTTTTTAAAAAAGTGTGGATTGGAAATACTTTGCCACCATGCCTCATTGAAAAGTGCAACATTATTCTTGTTTCTCTCAGCAGAGCTTTCAATAACACCTGGTACCCACTGGAGCTCTGGTGGGTGTTCTGTTGTGAATTGCCGGGTATACTTTGCCATGTTCAAGTCAAATTTACAGAACAAAAAGGTAAATAAATAACAGAAGAAAATAACAGTCAATTTAGTACTGGAGTAATCACCCCAGTTATTTTCTTAATCCTATAGTCTTTGTTTGTTAGATTCATTCTTTCACTGGCAGTTTTCTTTCTCTGCTTGTTTCGTGTGTATTTTAAAAGTTAATCACGCTCGAAGTAGAATTACACATCATTGGTTACCTAAATAGTTTTCAAACAAATCTGTGCTGAACTAAAATCATTAAATACTTTTACACATTCAAGTAAAACCACAGCAGTTCTTCTCAGCTGCTGGTTAGAAAACAAACTTGAAAATCAGATTAGTTAAAACAGCTGGCTTGTTGATAGCACACGTAAATCAAATTTGAAAGTTTTTTGCAAAGATGTTGACCTTGCTAAAAGACGCTTAACTTAGGCATGGCATTAAACACCTAGAGTCTAAAATTTTATAAAAAAAGCTGCATTTGTTGAAAAATTGAAGAAGACCTTGTTCTATGCTATGACGATTGTTTGTGATCCGATATGAGACACAAGCCATGGGAACAGCTAAAATTCATTGCCTGATTGATTTAATTCAATTATCTTATATAAACATTTAAATGAACACTTCTGTGGAAAAGAATAATCCTGAGGTTTTATCAGGAAATAAAACTGGTGGAATTCACAGCCACAAATCTTTAATTTCACCCAGTAACCAAAAAAAAAAAACAGAAAAAACACAACACAGCACAAAACAAAACAAAACAAGAACAAAAACTTGCAATCACAAAAATGCATTCAGCTTTCGAAGCTGAACGCATTTTTGTGATTTTAGATTTCTTCCAGGTGACTTTTACCTTTATAAACAAGGTTTGAGTAAAAAACTATTGATATTGTCTTCTCATACCATAACCAAATTTCCAGAAATAATAAGATTTTGAGTTTACGAGAACATACTGACTAAAATTTCAGTAACCAGTAACCAGTAACCACATGTCCTTTTAGAGGAGTTTTTGTGTGAAACTCAAGCAGCAGGTTTGCAAATCAGCAAATGGAAGATTTTGATTAAAAATAAGCAATCAGTTAAACATTTGTTACAAAGGAGTTGACTAATAATAAATGATCATTTACCAAAGTTCGCCACAGAAAACTCTGTTTGAAGCAATTTTACTCTAATGGAACTAATGGGTGAACAAGATTGAAATTGTTTTTCATATTATCCTCTGGCAGGTGCTTTACCGAGGTAGCCACTTACTTCAAATCTTATTGAAAGCACCACTCAGTATCAGTAAGAATGGACAGGTGCATTGTGGCCACTTACATATGTCATAGTTTGGTTTTACTTGCAATTGTGTCCTTTGTCAAATGTTAATTTTCTTTTCTTTTTGTAGCCAAAAGGTAGAGGCAAATTTCTGTCTGTGAATGCCTGAACTTGGAAGAACGTCAATACTTTGGACTAAGTTTTTATGACAAAAATCATAATTTGTTAAGTGCCTCATTGTTTCTATAACAAACTTAAAACAGGGCAAAATTTGCATCCTGGTGATCTTGCACTCAATGTCAAATCAAAAATG